CGATTGCTGGATGTATCTCACGTATCTCTTCTATCACAAATGTTTCATGGATTCTGCTTTATAGGTTCAAAATAGGATTAGATTTCTCGAGAAGCAGTTGGCTGACAAGAAAGCAAAGGAGCAGAAACTCGCCGAAGAGGAGGAGAACTTGCCAAAGTTGTTACACCAAGCAAAGAATACCCAAGCTGAGCTCAGAGTAAATTTTGCTTCGTCTGATTTAAAACAAATCGCGTGAATTCTACTAACGTTGTTCTCATCTTACAGCAATCTAAGCATTTTTTTAAAGGCAAAATGCGAAGAACTGGAAGAATTCATAAAGAACACGAGGCAGCGAAGGGAAGATTTTAATCAAGATGAACTGAAGTTCCTGAGAGAACAGAAGGTACCTTACTTGATAACTTCGGAATTTTGTGAATTGCACTTAATTAGGGTACACTGTTTCGGGTGGAACTATATGTCGCCGAAAGTGAAAGGCCCCCGCGCGAACGCTGCAGCAGATACTCAGCTTGTGCATGTATTGGAGTGTGTATATGTTGCAGATGTGCAGTGGGACCTCCCACTTTCGGCGACATATAGTCCTCCACTCCACAGTTTCATCTAACTAGCACCATGAGATCATGACTATTCTCTTTGTAGCAATGTATCGAAGAACTAAACGAAAAGGAAGCAACTCTCAAGGGACTGAGGAACGAAGTAGAGAAGCTGAAAAGACAAGTATGGGGCCTTCAAAACGCTAGCCAAGACCTTTCCTCATAAATTTTCTAGGTCGAAGCGTTATCTCTGCACCAAACGCAGGAGTTCGATGTTATGCCTAAACAAAAAAAGACTGCCGAAGACGATCCTATGGACTCTTTCGAGAACTTGTCATTGATAGAGCAGCCGCCCGAAAAGAAAGACAAAAAGGTAGCAGTCTGTTTTCTTGTTGCTAAGATCATTTGTATACATTCAGGCTAAGAAGAAGGGGACCGACGAAGAGGAGGAGTACTTGGAATCAGCGGATGGAACGGTGCCAAAATTGACGAAAGAAGAAGTTGCGGGACTAAATCGAGAAGACATAAAGTTCAAACTGACTAACATCGAACAAAAGCAGCTGTCATCCCGAACAGATATCAATATGCATATAATACAAGATTATAAAGCGAAGGTATGATCTTCAAAGCAAGCAATGCATGCAGTGTTTTCGTGGACTGGAACATAGTTTTAGATGATTATGTACTGTTGGCTTTAGTTGTGAAATGCAAAATAAGTGATCTTGGAGACTAGTTTATCT